ACTATGAGGAATGAGTGACTGCGAGGAATGAGTGATTGTGAGGACTGAGTGACTGAGCGTGCTGAGTAAGATTTATACTCAAAGAGCATGCATATGATTTTATCACTATGTTACATTGCATTGGCATGCACATTGACATGTAGGAATAGAGGTGTACTTTCCTCATGCCATATGATAATGCAATTTCTTATATGTTGTTGAAATCTTTGGAAAAAATCACAGTTTTCAGACTTACTCATATGTTTTGGTGATTTGGTGAAAAGAATTGACTTTTACTGTCTTCTTTGAAAAACATGCCTATTTTTTTGGAATTGTGAACGAGCGGAGCATCATATCTTGAGTTATTACTTGTATTGTTTTATTTATGTTGTTATGAGTTGTTTCCTGACTGTTGGGGTTGGACTCTGACTGTTGTCCAAGCTCGTCACTATCTTCAACCTAAGGTTAGGTTTGTTACTTATTGAGTACATGGAGTCGGTTGTGCTCATACTACACTTCTGCACCTTGCGTGCAGATTCTGGATGTTGATGTTGTTGTGCATGGCAGGAGCTGACATTGAAGATGTACCTGTGATCCGATCACAGCTGTCTCTTGTTCTTGGTAGCTTTAGAAGTATTAATCTGTTCGTGTATATTTCAAGCAGATGATGTATTTATTTCATACCAGCTTTGTAAACTCTAAATCTTAGAAGCTCATAATTTGTACTACCAGTCCTTGGGGAGTGTATAAAAGTTCAGTTATTTCATCATTTATTTTCTCATTAAATTGGATTATTGTTAATTGGCTTACCTAGCGGGTTGGGTTAGGTTCCATCACGACTAGTTAAATTTTGGGTCGTGACATTATTGTATGGTTATACGAATACGTCATTGGTCGTGTACATATGGTACGCCATAAATATTTTACCATGCTTATAAAAAGTTATTAAAGGCAAAAGTATAGTAAGAAATGATTTTGCTTATGATGATTTTGACCATGATAATTATTATGATATGATTTTCTCCGTGAAGGAGACATTCACCATATGGATGGTGAGAAAAAAGTCTTGTAGTACAAAATCAATTAAGAGATCGGGAAGAGCTAATTTGTTACTACCCGGATGAATGAAATGTTCATGATATTGATATTGTAGTAAGTCTCAAAAGGAACTTTTTGAGTTTCAAATATATTAGCCAAAGTGGTTGGCATATTGAGACTATAAATTAAAGAAATATTGAATATCTTCATATTACTATAATTATAACGGGTAATATAAAAGGTTACCCGATTTTTCTTCTATTTGCACTACACAAGTAGAAGCATGATGATGGAATCACATGCCACAAGTAAACTAGAGGTTTACTGAAACAAACATTAGTTGGCACGACCGGTTGGCCATCCCGGTTCAATTATGATGCGAAAAATTGATTGAGAATTCACATTGGCATATATTGAAGAAACAGAAGATTCTTCAATAACTCTCTTGTGCTGCTTATTCTCATGATATACCAACTAAGGTTGGGATTGAATCCCTTGATTTCTGGAATGAATAAAAAGTGATATATTTATGGGCCCAATCACCTGTCATGTGGATTATTTACTGTAATATGATTTTAATAGATGCATTTATTGTAGGGTCACATGTGCGTTTGTTATCAACTTGCAGTTTGGCTTTTACAAGGTTGCTTACTCAAATTATTATAGCACAATTCCAGAATGTAAGTTATGATGATTTATCTTGATAATGTTGATTTAAATCCAAGTTGGTTTAGCAAAAATTGTATGCCTCTAATTATAGCTAAACCATTGGTTATGAGAACAAAACTCCGAAATAGAAATTTGGTATGAGATTTATTATTTAATATACAGCATAATTGGTTCAGGCCCATGAACCAAATAATTTCTATCTAGAAATATGGATGTGCTATATGATTTAATTAAGCCACCACAATGCACAAAGATGGGTTCCCAAAGAAGGTTGAAAAATATGTTGGTGATCCCAACATTAGGGGGAGAAAATGGGCAGCTAAAAAAGTGATACGTGGAATGAATTATTATGAATACATCTAGATCCTCGTACAAGAAAATGTGAACTTGAAGTTTAAGTGATAATTCATTTGCAAAATATTATCAGGCGCATTTGCTGACATAGCTAAATGTCATATTTTAGCTGTTAATGTTCCAAATAGAATAACGTCCATGATGGACAGAGTTTATGGCATGCATAAAGCATAATAAACTAATCGGTTCCAAAGATAAAACTCCTTGAAGAAAGAGAGGAGAAAATGTTCAAAGTGATCATAATAAGGAAGCAAGTGCTTTATAAGAGCACCATAACATAACACTTTATAAGAACTCATGGAAGAGGTTCAGGTACCTGAAAATAATGAGATCTCGATAAGTTATGTCTTTATTGAGTGATGATGGAACTGATGCAAAATGATCGTCGACGATGTTTTTACTATAATATAGCACTCAATTTTATTAATATTGATGAGGATCTTGACCTCAAATCTGTAATAGAATATGGACAAATAAAAGATTGGTCAATGAAAAATACGCAATCAAGATTGACTTTACTTGGAAAACATAAAGTTTTGGACTGATAGTCCTACCACCTAAAAGTATAAAGCAGTGGGGTGACACAAGATTTTTCACAAATGTCCTGAAATCGATTATATGAAAACATGTTCTCTTGTGGTGGATGCACTTGCTTTCATATTTTAGTCTGGCAACACCTAAAAATTTGATATGCGTATATAAAAATCATTGAAGGATTTAAACTTTTCTGAAGTATATGAAGGTTCTCAAGAAATTTATTAAATAAAGTTTCAGCAAATCTTTATGTGGATTAGAGCAATTATGGCGTACATGATTTATTTTGTATCTAGTACAATTAGTGCACTAATGTATCTTGTTAGAACCATGAGTATAACAAATTTATATTTGTTTATTCTAACAAATATTACCAAAGTTTTGTTGGTTATGCAAATGCAGGGGCATTACATGAAGTTCGTTCTTCATACCAAGATACTAACAGTTTATAAATTAAGTGACTCAACACGACTGCGACGTATGATTTTTTTTGAAAAGAAGATTCCAATAATATTGAAGACGATACTGCTTGCATAGCTCAATTGAAAGAAAGATATATTGAATGAGACAGAATTAAGCACATTTCGTCAAAGTATTTTTTTTGCAGAGACGATCTTCAACAGAAAGATGAAATAGATGTTCAAGAAATTCGTTCAAGTGATAATTTGACGAAATAATTCACTAAGGCATTGCCGATCTCAACATTAGAGAAGTTGTTATACAAGCTTGGAATTCGTCGTCTCCGAGAAATAAAGTGATATTTTCATCAGGGGGAGGCACATACGTGCTGCACTCTTTTTTCCTTAGCTGAAGTTTTATCCCACTGGGGTTTCCTAGCAAGGTTTTTAACGAGGCAGCAAACAATGCGTATTATAAGTATGTGTACTCTTTTTCCTTCACTAAGATTTTTTTTTTCACAGGGTTTTTTTTGTAAGGTTTTAATGAGGCACATTATCTATGGACATCCAAGGGGGAGTGTTATAAATAATTATCTAATGGTGGATGTCCATAACTCATAAAGGAGTAATACTCACTACTCTTCTCCATTATCTCCATAACTCCCACTACTTCAATACTTATGAAGTTATGGTTATAACTTCCATACCTCCAAACCTCCCCATGATCTTCCTCCATGATCTCAAATGTTTAATGTCATGTTTATGACATTCTTTTGTATACCTCTATGTAATACTATAAATAGAGGATGAGAAGTGATATTGTACACACTTGAATACATGGAAGAAATAAGAACCTCTCATCTCTTTCTCCCTACATTCTTGTCTATTTTCTTGTTTTATATTATTACTTTGAGCTAAGTTTCTTAACATATTTCACTTTTTTTTTGAAAAAATATAAAATGTGACTTATACCCATAAGTTCATAAAAACTATCAAAAATACCCAACAATACCAAACAAATAAATTTGCTAATCATGTATATGTAGAACTTTCATCGATGCCATGCATTATCATTATCATAAATCATAGTCCTAAACATAGATAAGTTTGGTACAAAACTATCATTATTATAATGAACTACATAATACACTATCCTAAAATTATAACATGATATTTTAATATCAACTGCTAATAACACAATTACTAGCCACTATAATTCGTCAAATTACAATAATATTACAAGATCCATCAATCCAAAAGAAAATGATACTTAGTAATTAGCTGGTGGATTAGTTGGGTCATAATAGATGGTGGATTTCTTTATAAAATATAAAAGTTTGGGGTAGTTTTTAAAATTATTAAAATGTCGAACAGTAATATTTTGGGCCAAAAACAAGTTTAGAGCTAGTTTGGGAATTTGAATAACGCATGGATAAAATCTATAAACAAATATGTTTTGCCAAAAAAAATGGAAAAAATTTGGCAAAATCTATGGCCAAACAGGAGCTTAGAAGCAATTTTTAAAAGCTTGATCAAACACTAATTGTTGCTCAAAAATACTTTTCAAATTAATTAGTCAAACACAAACTGTTTTCCAGCAAAAATAAAAACACCTTTCAAAATAAGTTACATTTTTGTCAGCTTTGCCAAACCTGCTATAAGACGGTCAAGCCAATAAGTCTGTGACCACATAGTGTCAATTTTCATAGCCCCACAAGTTAGCACAATATACAGAGAATCAGAATTTGTACAATAAGATACGTTACACAACAGAAGAACAGTATTGTTTTGTCCACAATCTTCCACAAAAAGTAACCCCCCCTCCCCCCCNATTTAGCCCGTTAGGCCCGAGACCACCTCAGCCCAGCCCGCCTCAGACCCAGGCCCGTTTGGCCCAGGCCCGGACCACAATACAGCCTTAGTCCAAACAAAGAAACAGTAGGCAGGAACAATCACATTTAATAATAGCGTCACATAAAGAGAGACAAGTGGGATCATGCTATTTAGATTTTCTAAGATCTTGCAGTATCCATTAGTCTTTTAGTCTCCCTAAAGTAGATTTCTTTCCCTTTCCCCTCTCTCTCCGTATCTACTAGAACTAGTAGTACTATATATTTATTTACTCTTTCCACCCATTTTGTACGTCGGATTCTATAGACAAAATATAACACCCATTTTTGTAGCAGTGCTGAGGAAGAGAATGGAAGTGGAAAATATGGCTGGTGACTATTCTTTAAGTGATGCCCAAGAATTGCATGTTCTAGCCGTCGATGATAGTCATGTGGATAGGAAAGTTATTGAGCGATTGCTGAAAATCTCTTGCTGTAAAGGTTGGGTTTTTCTTTTTGTTGTTGAATTCGCTGTTGTGTTTTTCCCCTACACCATTACTTAATTCCCTTTTTATGTTCTTTCTAGTTGTGTGTTAAAATTTTTCTGATGGATTTTGTTTGCAGTGACAGCAGTTGAGAGTGGAAGGATGGCTTTGCAATATTTGGGTTTGGATGGAGAGAAAAGTTCTCTGGGAATTGATGTAAGGATAATCGTATTATTTTTATTTATAATGAGAAAGTGGAAGTTTCTTTACCATTTTGAACTAATGAATAAGAAAGTTTTTAATTGGCAAGATTTTGAGGAAAGATTGCAAATCAGAAAGTAGAAGTTTTCTCTACCATTTTGAACTAGGGATCATTGATAAAATTCTATTTGCTTTCTTGGGAACATTGAATTTGGCTGGTTTTACCTAAAGTGCTACGAAATTGTAAAGTAATATGGAATTCATTGGTTTTCAGGAATTGAAGGTGAATCTGATAATGACTGACTATTCTATGCCTGGAATGACAGGATATGAACTTCTCAAGAAGATCAAGGTTTGTTTTGAAAGATGAGATTATGTTACACTGTTCCCTTTGAGCATTTATTACACATTTCTATGTCTGGTATAGTTGAAATTAAAATAATTGACTTTGAATGACACATTTGTTCTTCCTAAGCAGGGATCTTCGGCGTTGAGCAAAATTCCTGTTGTGATTATGTCATCAGAAAAGATTTTAGCTCGTATTGATAGGTAACCAACCACTCTTTTAGAATACCATCAATAGTTTTGTTTATTTGCTTTAGGTTTGGCCAATTAGAAATGGAAATCCAGTTTGTCAAATACCCATTTATATATAAAAGTTTGGTACTTTAGTTGTTGATTTAAATATACCTAAGCCGGATTACAAAAATGTAACATCCGGATTCTTGCCACTGTCTAATCAAAAATGTTCTTTTGCCTACGAATAGATGTTTGGAGGAAGGGGCCAAAGAGTTTCTCCAGAAACCTGTCAAGCTTTCCGATGTTAAACGACTGAAAGATTTCATTTTGAGAGGGGAGAATGATAACAAGGAAACAGAGCAAATGAAAGAAGGGAGTTGTTCCAGAAAGAGAAAAATTCAAGACTGTTCATTGTCATTGACACAAACTCATGATATACCCTCATCACCAAAATGTTCATCAGCTCCATTATTGCAACAGTCTCTGTTGAAGCACCCAAAGATTGCATAACACTGATTCCTATTTTTGCTTTCTGATTTAGCTACGATAGTCGGCCTTGACACACTATGTATAAGGTCATTTTTGTTTGTATTACAACATAATTTTGTACATCCTTTAGCTTATTACTATCTTACTAATGAGTGCAATTATACAATTAAGCTACCTTTGCACTTGTTGATTTACTCCCTCATTATCTGTCATTAATTAGGAATGGTTTTAAACTATTTTATCCTTATTTATGTCTTAAGATATAATCTATTTTCATTAAATATTTACCCTATTTATATTCTATTTTTATTTTCAAGAATAATTTATATTAAGGGTAAAAAAATAGGATAAATATAATTTATTTTATCTTGAACTTCTAAAATAACAAATAATTTGAGATGACTATTTTTAGAAATCACGACACATAATTTGAGAGGGAGGGTGTAACTTTTTATATTTATGCCAATGTACATGTGCTATTCAGGCTCTCGTGATGCTTAATTTGTAAGAAATTTATCAATATGTCATCGGAAAGAAACAGAACATTAGAGTTAGTGTTGAAGAAACATGCGTTTATTGGCACAATAATGTGTTTGGTTACAATTTTATTTTATGTGTTTGCATTTAATGGATATCTTAGCTTAAAGCGTTCAGATGTTCCTCTATTAAATGCATTTATACTTTTTTCACAGTTACTATTAGCTCTTAGTTATGACAAGGTGAGTTGCTCTGATGGTAAGCACCCTACACTTCCAACCAAGAGGTTGTGAGTTCGAGTCATCCCAAGAGCAAGGTGGGGAGTTCTTGGAGGGAAGGATGTCGAGGGTCATTTGAAAACAACCTCTTTACCCCAGGGTAGGGGTAAGGTCTGCGTACACACTACCCTTCCTAAACTTTGTTGTTGTTGTTGTTGTAGTATTAGCTCTTAGTAAATTTAAATCTTGTATTGAGACTAATATTATTATTTATTACACGCTCACTTAAATTTTATGTCAAAGTAATCTTTTACCACCATTCTATTTATTACCATGTTTCATGGCCAATCACCATTACCGGCTACCTTTATGACCTGTCACCATCAGCCACTTAACTACTAAACTACCAACACCCTCCACCATCAACAACGGCCACCTCCACCACAAAGCACCGTCACCATCGATCACCACTACCAGTCTACCACTAGCCACAACCTCCTTCACTAGCTTTCCCCATCATACAACCACCACCAACTGCCTTTATCACTAATTTCTATTGAACAATAACCATTACCAACCATCTTTACTACTACTAGTAGACACCATCAACCGTCTCTATCGCCAACTTTTTGTTGCATAGCATATGTGTGGTTAAAGCTAAAGTTTAATGTGAGACCTAAATTTTTCGATTTTCTCTAATAAGTCATTTTCAATTGATAATATAACCAATAAATTTAATCTATCTTGAGACATTGTTAATCTTAGGTAAAATTTTATCAATTATAATCTTGAAAACTTATTTTCTTTGAGATAATTGTTATAAAAAAACTCTAATTTTAAACGAAAAGTACTAAATATAATTTTTTAAAATACTTATAATTTTTTTAAAAATGGGGGCCCCAAAATTTGGGGACCTAACGCAAAAGCCTTACTTGGATCTACATTAGAGCCGGCCCTGTCAGTCACCACCTCCTCCTCCTCCTCCTCCTCACTAGCCACCATAGCACATTCATTATCTCTAGCCACAATCACTAGTGGCTACCACTACACAATCACCATCGCCAACCTCCTCCGTCATTACCTTAAAATTATCATCCCTGACCCCACCATCGCCAGCCACCACCATTAGCTCTTAGAGTGTGGGTAACAAAAGTTACTCCCTCCGTTTATTTTATGTGACCTAGTTTTGCTCGGCAAGGAGTTTAAAAAAGTCTTGAAAAAACATAAAGCGTAAAACTTTTATGGGGCCATAACAATTATGTGATTGTAAAAACTTTTTATTAAGGGTAAAATGAATAAATTGAAAATTCAAGTTTTTCAAAAATAGAAATATCTTTTTTTGAAACGGATGAATAAAAAAGTGTGCGACATAAATTGAAACGAATAGAGTATATAACACCATATAAATAATATTGTTTTAATATTTTATGGCTATAATATTCATTAGTAATTTAATTTGAATCTGTATTTTTAATTTTTAAATAAAAGATAAATTATCCACATCAAATAATGAAAAAACAAATAGTTTTAATTACTGAATTTTCGATGTAGATGCAATACCTTAATATTTAGAGCTTATTCAAATTAAGACAATATAATAATCTTAATAAAAACAAAAGTGCCTTAACCTGAAATGGTTAGAAAAAAAATAATATATCGCTTACTCCAGCTCCAGGACGAGGTATGGCTAAAATATGCGATATGTCACATGGCAGTATTAGGAGACACAATAAAGAACATTAAAAGAAAGTTCCACCTCCAACTCCAAGCAGTGGGGAAAGATTTTAGTACAAATCCAATCCGATTCTTAACTTCCGTTTTGCCATAGATTTTATCAAAATTTTTCCAAATTTTTTTTTTTTTATAAGTACCTGTTTGTTTATAGATTTTATTTATATTTCGAAAATTTTCCAAATCCCAAAACCCAAATCTCAAAATCAATTCAAGAGTTATTTTTGGCCCAAAATATTACCGTTCGATTTTTAAAAAAATATAAAAATTTTCCTAAACTTTCGTATTTTATAAAAAAGGCCCAATTTATGTTATTATGACCCAACTAATACATATCTATACACTTTTTCCTCATTAAACTCACGCGGCTTTGCCCTTCTCCATAAACAGAAGAAAACCTTCGCCAAAGTTAGTTGTGCCAATCTATGGCAATCCACCGCAAAGATAAAATTTGAAGGTAATTTGCTAAAATCTGCTAATGTTTGTGTAAATTTTTTTCATATTTGTTTCGCTTGTTTTGTATGAATTTTCTTCAGAGTTCTTCAGTATTTTTGATAGTTTTTAAAACTTATGGGTATAAGTCACATTTCATGTTTTTTTTTAAAAAGTAAAATATTGTATATGATAAAATATATTCATATTAAAAACTCGCATAATAAAGCGACACGTGGAGCCGGAGGCAGATGGAAAGCGAAACAAATGGCAGTCAAGTCTGAGGGCAGCAATCTCGTTTGTTCCCGAAGTGAGTGTTGCTCATAAAGACAAAATAAATGCCTGCCACCCGATAACATTTAATGGAGAATATTCTATAGCATTAAGTTCATATCTCATTATAGAGAATATGACATTCATGGCCTATCGTTACACATTCTTCAATGGCCTCCATAATTGTCATTTAAGAGGGGCTTGATCCTAGGACCTTGTCCCATAGGAGCAACTATAAATAGTGAGTTCAACAACCATTGTAGAACACGAATTTTCTAACAAGCTTATGCTATATATTGTTCAAAACTCAATAATATTTTATCTGCTTGCTTATTAATATCGTTATTACTGCCTCCGGAAGTTCTACTCGTGGAACCAGGATTTCTGCTGTATTATCTTGATTTCAACGCTAAGTCTTACATTCTTATTTAATTTATTTATTATTTTGAGATCAAATCTATTCACTTGTCTATAAATCACATATAAATTCAATTGTACCGTTTTTCGAGTAAACAGTTTGGCGCCCACCGTGGGGCTTAGACAGTTGTGTAATTGATTTGATCCTTGCATCTATTACTAACCTGTTTGATTCTCTGTTCTTACCAAAAATCATTAAAAAAAATGGCAGATAATGATGTCAACATCGCACACAACGTTGAGGCCCAAGGAAATCAGCCTTAGCACGAAGACTCGATCAGTGATACTCGCAACGAGGGGGATGAGGCCATGCCGGTCCATGGCGCGCAATATCCACGACATGTTCGAGAAGCAACTCCTGATGATGCTGAAAATGAGCATGTCACTGAAACTTGTAAGGATCCTGAGGGAGCAACAAAAGGCTATTATGGGCCACCTCTCACGACAGGATCAAGTCATGACGGATTTGAGGCAAGCGTTGTCACGCGCTTCCAATAACGCGAATGGACGGGGTCTAGTTCATCCTAGTGCTTCCGCAAACCAAACAACGCAGAGGGTCGACAACAACACCCCGAGGGGCGAAGTCGGCTTCGACAGGGCCGGGGGAACGATAGTGGATCCGGTAACAACAATGAGAATGATCACTTTAAAATTGAACTCATGCGGTTTATGAGGGAAATAAACGCCCGAATGGATCAAATTCTGGGTGCACCACCAGTATTGAAAGGACCAGACTCAAAGAAATGCACCCAATTTCCGTTCAAATCGAGCGCGACACCGGAATTGATCCCGAAGGAGTTCAAGATGCCAGACATACCGAAGTATGATGGAGCTTCGGATCCTCAGGAGCACATCACCACCAATATAATGGCGGTGAAGGGGAACGACTTAGCTCCGCACAAGATTGAGTCGGTCTTATTGAAGAAATTCGGGGAGACCCTCATAAAAGGGGCTCTGATATGGTATTCGCTTTTACCTGAGCATTCAATAGATTCCTTTTAGGAAGGTACAGGCCTGAAAGGCCAACATATTCAAGATTGCATAAGGAGAGTCCGAATTATTGCGGGAGTTCGTGCCCAGATTCCAGAAAGAAAGGATGCTGCTACTGGTTGTACCAGACGAATGGGCAGTTGAAGCATTTACTACAGAGATGAATCTGAGGAGCTCCAACATTTCCCGAAAATTGAAAGAAAGTCTTCTCGAGTTACGACATGGACGGATATTCACAACCGGTTCGAGTCAAAGATAAGAATTGAGGATGACCATCTCGATTTCCCGGCATCAACCAAGGGTCGGGACGGGGAGAAGAATAAGGAGAAATCGAGGGACTATTTTGACACAAATCGACGGTCTTCTAGAGGATGGTTTTTTCCCTACTAAAGGGCCGAAGACGCGGCAGGGGTTTTCGGGCGGCGGATAGATTCGCTACCGATAAGAGAGCTGATCGTGTTCGGAACAACAGATCATTGCAGGATAAGGAGATATCGGGTTCTCGAGACTCCTCCTACCCCAGGCTTTCTGAATACAACTTCAACATCAGCATAGTGGAACATGTGTCAGTTATAAGGAACATTAAGGAAGCACGGTGCCCGAAGCAATGAGATCCGATCCCAATTAAAGGGATCCTAATTTGTGGTGC